GGGGGGGGGGTACCCACGGAGTCCCTGCACTCTGCTCTTTCCCACTCCCCACTCCCTTTTCTGAGACTCTACCTAAGGATAACATCAGAATAAATGGAGAAAAAAGATTGACGTTGTCACGGATGTTGTCTTGCTCAGAAACACAATCAACGCTCTCGGAGCAGCAGCCGAGAGACCAAAAGATGTGCTGTATTAGGTAAGTCTGCTGCTCAAGACCCCCGGAGAGTATCGAAAATCAAGGAGGTTGCTTTGAGGACTTCGGTGCGCCTGACCCAAGCCATGGCATTTTCTATTGCCCCGTAGGCACGCGAAAGTTGGACATTGTATAAGGAAGACTGGAGAAGGATCAATGCATTTGAGTTGTGGTGCAGGAGAATACTGGAAGTACCATGGACTGTTCAAAGGACAAACCTATGTGTCTGGGAAGAAGTATGGCCACAGTGCTCCTTAGAGGCAAAGACAGCAAGATTTTGTCTCACATACTTTGAACATGTTGTCAGGAGAGACCAGTCCCTGATAGACATCATGCTTGGTAAAGTGAAGGGGCAGCGAAAAGACAGGAAGACCCTCCACAAGGTGGAGGGACACCGTGGCCGCACCCATGGGCTCAGGCTGGTGCAGGACTGGGTGGCACTTCCTTCAGTTGCGTAGTGTTGCTATGGGTTGGCGCAGACTCAATGGGACCTTACCACCACCACCACAAACATACCTAGGGGTGGGCTTGCTGGATGACACGGTAATTCTGTCTTCAGTGTTTTCAGGGACCCCCTGACAGTGTTCCCCAGGGGCTGTGCCACCTGACAAGTCAACCCCAAGAGGGCCCCCAGCCACCACCTCATCCTGGCCAGCACCTGTCACCTTCCCATTTCTGTGTAGACAGAGTCCCTGGCCAGCTGCCAGGAGCAGGCTTCTCTGTGTGTCAGAGACCAGTGTGCCAGGGGCTTCCGACGGCTGCCTGTCTGCCAAGGGGCTGCCAGGCCATTCTCCCGGTGGACCTGACCCTCTGACCCTCCAGTAGCAGCTGTGCGTGGGAACCATGTGACTCCAAAGAGTCGTCCTCGTGGCTGCTGGGTGGTATCCCCACTCAGAATGGTCAGGGTAGCTTCTGAATTCCCATGGAGCCCATGAGACCCCTGCTACAGAGGCTCTAGGCTACCCCTCACTGCTGCTGCCTCTGGCCCACCTTTGACCCTCACTGCAGCTTAGGAGGTAAATGCCCATGGTGTAGCCTGCAGGAGGCTCTTAGGAGCCTACTCACAGCCACCTCTGGTCCACCCTCCTGAGGTCCTCACTTTCTGGGGCTTTGAAGGGGGGTGTGCTTTGAAGAGGGCTGTGCAGAAGCAATTGGTGGAGCGGGGCTCAAGGTCCCTACCGGAGACTTCTGATCTCCCAGCTGGGGCTCCACGGAGCCACTGCTGCTGCGCCGAGATTCCAGGGCCCCGGGGGCTGCGTCCAGGTGGGGGGAACCCTTGGGGGTGGGCATGGGCGTGGCCGCTGTGCGCATGATGACAGGAGGGGGCAGGCTGCCCCGGCCCTCCAGGTGTCCATTGGGGGTCACCGCCAGCGAGTACAGCTTCATCTCTGGGAGGAGGGGAGGGAGTCGCTGTACCTCCAGGGCCCCCACCCAGGAGCCCCCATCCCCGCCGGCCAGCGCACCTGCAGCCCGCAGCTCCCGGAGCTTGTCCAGGTCCTCCTCGAACTGCATGGACGTCTTGTCTTCATCTGTGTCCGACCTGTTGGCGTCGCCCTGGCCCCAGGAGAGAGGACGTCTGGGGAGCCCTCATGGACAGGCCCATGGATGGGCAGACTGATGAATGCCCCCAACAAGGGGGGCCCACGGTGAGGGTACAGCCTCCCCATGGTGGTCTGGGCAGGGTCCCCGCCCAGGCTCACAGGACCTCATCTACCTCCCCACCCTGGCCTTCCACCCCCAGTCCCAGAGTCAGGATGGTCACTGTTCATTTCCCTCCCCATCCTCCCCTCACCTCTCCGCCTGGACCCTCACAGTATCCCTCCCCTCTCAGCCCCTTCCCTCCACCACCTGTAAACCCTCTGCCCAAGGGGGTCCTCTCTGCCTAGAAGCTGTCCCCCAGCCCCACCCCCACCCACAGCCCTCTGCCTAGAAGCCCTACCCCCACCCCTCCTCTCTGCTTGGAAGCCCCTCAGCCACTTTTCTCTCACTGGAATCCCCCCAGCTCATCCCCTCCACCTGGAAGCCACTCCTCCACCACCACCACCAGTTTCTCCTTTCCTCTTAAGCCTCCCCCCACCCTCACCTCTGCTTGGAAGCCCTCCACCAGGATGGCCACCAGCAGGTTGAAGAGCACATAGTTGCCGAAGGTCATCAGGGCCACAAAGTAGAGGGCAGCCCAGGAGGAGGTGGAAGCCATGCCATTGTAGAGGACCACGTTCCAGTCCTCCTGTGTGAGGATCTGTGGGGGCAGGGGGAGCAGGCCATGGGGGAGAGAGCGCGCAGGGAGAGAAGCAAACCATGGGGGCCCTCAGCTCAGAGGTCCAGAAAGGTCACAGACACCCCATCCCCCAGCAGTCTGTCCCCTGGCCCCACCTGGAACACAGTGACGATGGCCCACAGCAAGGAGTCGAAGTTCTTCCTATCAGGGACGGTGTCACCGGTATCTGTCTTCAGGCTGAACTTGCAGCCAAAGAGATGCATGCCCAGGATGCTGTGAGGACAGGGGAGCATGAGTGGATGGGGGTGATGCTG